CTCTCTCTCTCTCTCTCTCTCTCTCTCTCTCTCTCTCTCTCTCTTCTCGAAAGACGATGCGTCTGAATGATTGTCCCTCTCTTGAATGGGAATGAATCGGCATCCTATTTCTATGTGAAAGAACTTCTTCCGGAACTCTTCCATTAGTAACCTGGGTAATCCTCCTACGCAAGGACCCCGTCTACTTGTCTTGTGAACGGTGGATGCGTATGTACTATGCAATGCGATCCATCTTTTCCTGTGAATGTCTCATTTTCGCACCTTCCACAGCGAATGCATGTATAGAGATGCGTGACTTTTCGGATTGATTAGACGAGTGTCGCCGGGATTTTGCTCGAGAATACAAGAGTGTTTAGATCTATAGTCCCGAACGCACTGCACATGCCATCTGCCTTATGCGGCATGACATCAGCAGCCACGTCACCAGGCGGCCTTGATAAACAAGGCGCCGAACACCAACGTTGTGTTGAACTGAGTTGCGGGTCGGTCCCTTAACCCTATGCATGATCAAGCTGATGTGTGTCTGCTCCCTCGTGTGTCAAGAAGGGTAGGTTGAGGGTCGCATGAATGATTTTTGTTCTTAATGACGCTGTCGGGGCAAATACCCTGACAAGTGTATTTGTCGGGGTTTTTCAACGTCGGACGCTGTCCGACTTTCTCGTTGAATTGAAGGACTTGATGAGACGACGTTTGCCAAAAGTTATTCAGACCTGACCTATTACTGACAGACTAAAGGTTTCTGACGTTAGTTCGAACGTGTGTGGCGTCCAGGAGTAACGAATGTGAATGGTAATGCTTCGCTTTGTCGAAGCCGTAGAGGCGTGCAGACATGGAAGTAGTAGAACTAGACCTATTCTACCTAGAGTAATGTCGCGCGACTGTTAAGTCGCGCGATTCAGGGTCTGAATGGGCTAAAAAGGGGAGATGCACAGGGTATAGGGCCCCGACGCAGAAGGAATGGGGAGTTTTTTGTCTCGGCCACAGGGGTTGACATCGAGCCAGGGGTTGCTAGGCCAATGCCAGGGTCGCGAGGCCAACCAACGGGGTAAAGATGTCGGCAGGGCCTACAAGGCCACAGGCAGGTAGGGCCTTCAGGGCCACAGGTAGGCGGGTAGGGCCTGCGAAGCTGCGACATGGGGGATAGGGGATGGGCTGAGCTCTTCATATAGAAGAGTTGAGCCTATTACTGATGTGATAGGAGCTACCCCAGTAGGTCATAGTGCCCGACTACTACCCAGTGGACACCAGGATCGAATCCGAGAAACCGCAAGTCTGCCACTACCGGGTTAGCTCCTTTTGGAGCAGCCCAACTTTTTGGCGCGGCCGTTTTCGGCCGTGAGA